ATGTATGCCTGGAATTTGCATGTTCTTCCTGTGGTTGCATGGATTTTTCTCCGGGTCCTCCGGTTTTTCCCTCCACATTAAGAGGCGTGCGTTTAGACTATTTATCTGCTGTACATTTCCACGTGATAAGCCACTTCGTTGAGCTATCGTCTGTGGCCAGGTCGCTTGTGAATAAGAGCTACACATAGCCCAGTGGGCCTTACCTGGTCAAATGAAAAATAGTTTAATCTGCACGCTCCTGTCATTTAAATTATTCCATTCGGTTGCCGTTCAAAAAATATATATGTTTCAAGTACTTTGATCTAAAGGTGCTCTATAAATAGAAGATGATAAGATTCCTTGCACCAGGGCCCATACCAACCACCTACTCAAACGAGTACGTACGGTGCGAATTTTTTTAAACTACTTACACACGGTACCATACAAGTTCGGGGGCCCTGAGACAGTGGTGGAAATTCCACATTACCATGACGAGAGAAACCTATCTCTACACGCCTCACTGTCACGGAAAGTCTCTCGCGCTCATGAATTCGAATTCTCTTGAAGTGCAATGCTGTTTTACGCAATAGTGCACGACGTTTCGGTGCACCGCCAATGCCAGACGTTGTTTTTTTTGGGGTGGGTGTGTGGGTGGGGCACTGGTCGGGCCTGCTTTTGGAGGCCACCCCAGCTGAGACGTGGTCGTTCCGCCACCTGGCGTTAGGGCAACGAAGGTTTGCGACTGTGCCAATTATTCTGCTCGCTCACCCAACAACCCCTTTCCTCCCCTCGACTCTTTTTGCCAATCGCCAACTCGCGAGCGGCTGCGTTAGCTTGCTCGTCTTCGCACGGCTCGTGTTGATGTTAAGACGCAGCGTCCTTCACGAATCTACAGAATAGTGGGGGGGGAACTTTCGCCGCTAAGACATCGTCAGTGTGCGCGGGGCCGCCACACATTTTCAACCATTTGGGGGATTTGTGACAGCGTCACGACATTGATGATGATTGGGGGGGGGGGGTGTTTTCACATTTGTATTGTCGTGGGCCACAAACCTTGGAAATGAAGAGCACCGATGTGGACCAACAACTGTCACTTAACATCGAGGTGGTTGAAGCCAGAAGTGGCGGAGTCTATCGCTACGATGATGCCTCCTTCCCATTGATCTCCGAGTGTTTGGGACTTACATTTTATAGACGTACGGCTCACGTGACTGCAGACCAACAACTGACATTTTACACTGTGGTAGCGGTGGCAGGTAAATGCGTCAGGAGCAGCTGAGTGGCGAATCGCTGCCGTCTTTGCATTTGAAATCGGATATCACGTACGTTGAACTTCTTTCGCACCGTACGTAGCCAACCGTGCTACACCCCACGGCTCCGTTCTGGGTGCCCAGTCACTTGCGCAACTGCCCGGAGAGTTTTCCCATTTCCGTTTGGGCATCACCAAGTATCTCTGCATCTGCACGCGGTTTGTGCGGACGAGGTTTCAAACGATAAAGGCGACTGCTGTACGTACACATTCAGTACAGACAAGGGGACGTCCACCGAGGAGACGGAGCTATGAAAGCACTTTGTGCAGGTGCTGCTGGATGGACCATCGCGCCGCAGGATTGAGACGCGGTGGCTGTTGGGAGTCCTTCATCCAGCAGTGGATTGTCCATAACTGCTGCTGCTGATGACGACACAAAGGAACTGGCCCACGAACTCAAGCAGGACACCCTCTTTAAAATCAACCTCGAGACTCAGTGAGACATACACAAGATCACAATAATAATAAAGTCAAACCAAAATGTTTCAAAACCTTTATTGCAGTGGACACATGCTTGCATAAATCCCGAAATGAAATGAGATTCGTGTTGTTCTTATTGTCAACAAATCGGGGTACACGTTCATACGACAGTATGATGTACACCGGAATGCATACAAACTGCGTGCACAACCATAACATGAATCCAAGTTAAATTACACCACCATAGCCGTGACACATTCAGATGTCTTACCAGTTTATTTTTTATTTGCTAAACTGTTCAATCTTTTGGCAGACGAGACACTGACGATGATGGGTCGTCTGCACCGCAGGAAAGATATCTCAAGGCTGCTGTGGTCTTAATTTACCAGCAGAGGGCAGTGCACCAATATCAATCGTTGTACAATGTACAGGTACGAGGCATCAACTATGCACCCCGACTCACAACAACCGACACTGACCGGCGTGAAGTATGGTGAAATAGCTCACGTGCATTTAACCGTGGTGGGCAGGGGGGGAGCTCTCATCCAGCAGTGGATTGATTAAAGGGCTGTGTGCACACACCCGTCATCGGGACTCATCAGTGAGCCTTGCTTGGCTACAAGACTGCGTGGAAGGCATGAGCCTGGATATTCTCATCATCATCATCATGCGGTCCGTACCCAAGGACGAGGATCTCTCTTGCGTCGGGAGTCGGTCATCCTTCGTCACCTTACGTGGTTGTTGTGCTTGATTCATGCGCGTTCGCTTGTGGCCAGCAAGACCTGCGTATGAACGCGTAGATCACACGCACAGTGGGCCGAGGGTAACACCTGAGATTCAAATGCACTGGGGTCGGCACTAACACCACTTCGAAGCCGCAGTCTGCCGGCGTGTTGCGACTCCGTGTTCTCAAGAGCGCCGTCTCTCTCAAGCAACTGGGCAGCTTCAGCCAAGGCTGTGCGCCGTTGCCGTCTGTTTTTGGCGAGATTTCCCCATGAATCTGCATGGAATTCCACGTCTTCTCAAATGTGAGTGAAGTACACATCCTGAATGTATTGTCACATATGCACCGCAACTTCGACGCTTCCCATAGAGACAGGCAGCATCGACAAGAGGATATTTTGAGACAATTGGGTCACGTTGAGGAGCATTTTGACAGAATTAAATACTGGGTTCACGGGGTGAGATTCAACGATGTTGTTATGTTGCCCTGCGGAATTCTGATGGCTCCGGCTCCGATTGCCAACGAAAAATCCATTTGGATGGATTTTAAAATGTACGCTGAGCATTTTATCTTCGTCTCTCTAGCTTTGACCACGCCACTGCAGCTGAGGGCATCTTCATGTTGAGCCACTTTTGTTGACCAATCATTTGTGGCCAAGTCGCTTCTGAAAAAGAGCTATATAGCTCAGTGGGCCTTACCTGGTAAAATACAAAAAAACATACTTTAGTAGTTTAGTTTAGACGAAGTGTCTACTCTGGTTGCTGTTACGTCACCACCAGTCTCCAACGAGCCATCATGATCATCATGATCATCAATATCATCAATATCATCATCTCCGAGAAAGACGTTCTACCCTAGCACATTCACTTTCCTTGATAATGAATTTGGATATCTCTGGTTCGAGTTGAATCCTCCGATCTGCATGCGTTCCCGAATCGCTCAGTGGGCTTTACCTCGTAAGACAATATTTTGTTTAATTTTATTTGTTTTTATTTTTAAGCGATTTGTTTACCTTTACAACACTTTTCACTCCTATCGTGCTTTGTTTGTATTGTTTGTTGTCAGGAACGCTCAGACCCACCCCGAATGGACATCTGTGAAAACGCGCTTTACAGCTCAACGGATTCCTCCAGTGTAAATAAACATTCCGATCCATTCAGTAGTTCGTGGCGAAATCTTGGGAACAAGAAATGCTCAAGCCGCGGCCAAAACCCGGGAAACCGCATTCGCGTGGACGTTCCAAAGCCCATTCAGATCAGCCGCCAAAGCTCGCCGACGTTGACACCCGTTCGCTGTTGACACGAGGCCCGAAGCGATGACCCAGAGGTCGCAACCAGGTACCCGATACCCATACCCTACCCGATAACCGGCTACCCGTACCCGGCCGGGTACGGGTACCCGTTTGCGACCCTGGTGCGGCCCGGTACGGGTAGACCGTGAGTCACTGATGAGTCACCGTTTGTCACTCATTTCCCAACGTCTTGTCTCTTCTCACAATTCAAGCTCCTAAAATCAACCCACCCGGGCCTGCAACGTGGCTTCATCCCAGAGGTCGCAATCAGGTACCCGATACCCGGCTGGGTACGGGTAGGGTACGGGTAGGGTACGGCCGGGTACGGGTACCGTTTGCGACCCTGGTCAGCGGCCGGGTACGGGTAAGGCATCAAAACCCGTTTGCGACCTCTGCAGTGCCCCGCACGGGCTGATGGACCAGCGACCCCTGGCGGTGGAGAGCGGTGGTGCAACGGTTAGCGCGCTGCCCTACGGACCAGGCGCCCCGAGTTCAATTCACGCTCACCGGACACCAGCGGTGACGATTGTCTGAAACGGTCCCGGGCCTTCCCTAGGTCGACTCGGCTTCAAATGAGTATCTGGTGATGTGTGTAAACATCGGTACTGGGAAGACAAAGGCGGCCTGGCGAGGTGTTGGCCACCGACCCCCGTCTTGTGCTGTGCCGGCCTTCATTAAGTGCTACTCGCTCACAGCACTTGCCCTACAACGGTATGTTCAGGCTATAGGGGGGGGGGACCTTTGTCTTTGCTGGTGGGGAAGAATGTTCTGGCCACAATCTGCTACAAGGCTACGGCCAACATCCATCATCACACCTACTGTGATGGACATGGCTTCCTTTGTACCCATTCTAGATTTGAAGCTTTCGTGACTGCAAGGATTCATACTTAGGTTTTTTCGGTAAAGTCACGTAGGTAAAAAGAAAAAATTAAATAATAGAAATAATAATATAAATAAAATAATAAATCACGACGTTTCGGAGGCAACACAAGTCTCCGTCATCAGGTGGGACCGTCACAGCTAGATTTACTGTATCAAGTGAGGCAGAATTCCAAGAGACAAGCCCTTAAATACAAGTTAAGGGGGGAGGAGGGGGTTATCTGAATGTGGCAGCCAATGATTTTATTTAAGGGCTTGTCTCTTGGAATTCTGCCTCACTTGATACAGTAAATCTAGCTATGACGGTCCCACCTGATGACGGAGACTTGTGTTGCCTCCGAAACGTCGTGATTTATAATTTTATTTCTATTTTATTTTTATTATTTATTTTTACCTACATGACTTTACCGAAAAAACCCAAGAGTATGATTCCTTTGTACCGGTCACACGACTTTGAAAGAGGTGCGCGGTGAGGTCTCTCCCATGTTACACCCCACCCACTCCTTGCTTGCTGTGTGTGCGTGCAGTCAGACACTCAGATGAGGCCACCGTGGATGACGAACCATAGCCCTAGGTTTGAATCAGCTTTGGGATTCCAGAGTAGCTGTACCCCCCCCTCCTCCCGTGGCTATTTTTTTTACTTTACAACGGGAATTGTGCTCTCGGCTCGTGCTGTCGGAAGGTCACAAGAGTTCAAATCCCCCGGTTGCGGTGGGGATGACCTGACCCACAAGCCTCTCCACCTCTACGGTCGTCTGATGAATAAACTGACCCCTGTCATGGGAATGTGGAATTTCCTTCACTGGTGCCAGGCGGCTTTGCTGCTCAAAACAGAAAGAAAACTTGAAGCGACTTTTTATCGTTAACAAGTTCAAGGTGTAAAATTGCACGTAGATACATCGGTCACGGATGGAAGACATCAACATTCACGAACATGGCACGTGGTCTTGCGGTCCAGATGCATCAAACGCAACATTAACTTCGCCGATTGGCAGCTGTATGGCAGGTTTTTTTTTCTTCCTGAATGTCACAGGCAATGTCTGCTGTTGTAAAGCCATTGCTTTAAAAAAAAAAGTTACGTTATGTACGGCGGTTGCGTGTGGGAAATTCATCGCACAACTCAACAGCTGTGATTTAATTAAGGCAAATCAATGAACTTTGTTGACCCAAGGGGAAATTTAGGATACGTCGATTTTAGTTTTTTTGCTGAGACCAACGAGCTTCATTGCAACGTTTAACAGCTTGACTATAACAGACACGAAGTGGCACGAAATCGTGACAAATTATTCTAAAACAAACACCTACCTCGAAGTAAACATTCATCACACCGAACTGCCACCCGCAACCAGGTTTCATAAAACAAATGGACATATTTATTCATAACGTAGGGGGCGAGCGGGGGGGGGGGGGGCGTGTGGTCAGAATGAACCAACTTAATTAAGCCTAAATCAGGTTGGACCCTTTAAACGGTAAAATAACTCACTCGGTTCGAAATCGATGACGGCAACTCCCACAGCGCGCCAATTCGCAATGTGTCCAACAACTGAGCATGCCCGGTCAAGCCCCCTCCCCGTCCTCCTGCGCGGATATTCACGAAATAAAACCCGATGCACTCGCATCGGCTGCGCATTGACCAAGCGGAGCGTTTTTTCAAGATTCGTCAACACGGCAGGATAACCATGTTACGTTACGATTGCCACTTACGCCGGTTATATCCCATGATGCACAACGCCATCGGCCATTTGCATCTGAATCTGGGCCACTGTTATGTCAACTTGGCATAACACGAGCACCTGGGGACTGTGTGCTCAACACGAGCAAAGGGGAATGATGAGTGTGTTTGACCGTGCTGGGTTTTAACCGCAGCAGTGGCTCGCATGCTTTGTGGGCCTTAACGGGTGCTCGCTAACAGCAATACAAACAAATCTACATCGGTGACCTTAGTGTGTGTGTATGGAGCGGGGGTGTAGCGGTTAGCGTGCTGCCCTAAGAACCCGGCGACCCGAGTTCGATTCCCGCTCAAGGCCAACACCAGTGACGATTATCTGAACCGGTGCTGGGCCTCCCCTAGGTTGACTCAGCCTCAAATGAGTACCTGGTGTGGTGCGTCAACATCGCCACTGGGGAGAGAAAGGAGGCCGGGCGTGGTGCTGGCCACCCACCCCCTTCATAGGTTATCACTAACAGCACTTGCCCCAAAAACTATGTAGAGGCTACACAGGAGATCTTTGTCTGTGTGTGTGTGAAACCGTTAAGCGCGTTGATAACGGGGTAGAAAGAGTCACTAAAACAGATGCCCACGTAAAGGAAAAGTTCTTCACAAATCAAGACACCACGGTTTTGTAAATGTGCTGTGTTTCTTCAGACAATTGCAGAAATGCTGCACGTGTTCTTGAACATCCGATGAGGAATGCAGAAAAGTATTTTACACACACGCAAAATGCTTCAGGATCACATCTGTGCATTACAAACAGACTTGGGCTTCCGTTCCGATAACACTTCGAGGCAGATTAATACAAACATTGCGGAAATACAGTAGCTTCAATAAAACATCTCTCCCCAGTGTGTTGAGCATCTAAAGCCAGTGCATTATACATGAGAAAACACTCCCCCCCCCCCGCCCCTTCCTCCTTGTGTTAGGCCACACCACATACAAATGGTCTAAATATAAACCACACGAAAAAAAAATCTATTTTTATAAGCTCATCATTGCATAAACCTGCAAAACAGAGAAAATGTAAAACCTGTTCAGCAACAAAATTTTCATTGAAAGCAACAATTTCCCTGCTTTGATTTCCCCCGTTATGTTTTTTTCTTGGTCCAATGGACAAAATAATATTTTGGCTCTAGAGAGACCGATGGTGATGCACAGAGCGTCACTCCTCCTTTCCGCAGCCCTTAACCAGCACCATCATTCAACTAATTTGTCGGATGTCATGACTTGATTCTTTAACGATAATGCTCTACCCAGCAAATCCTGGGTAAGTAAAGTCTTGAGACTCATTGGCGAGATGTTAAGCCAATTTCGAAGAAGCAGAAGAAACATCTGCTTTGCGACAAATTAATATATCTTGTGACTTAGGCCACCGTGTGCCAAGGGACCGTGTATCAAATTCACGTGGAATTCAATTGTGAACACCGTACCCACCCCTCCTCGAAGCCTTAGCCGTGACAGCTGCCACTTCGCCAATATAAACGTTAGAGGAGATGGAGGGGACGGAGGAGGACGGAATGTGTCTGGGCCAAACCGGCTGCAAGGCAACACATACGATGTGCGGCGGTGGCAATGACATTTACAAACCGCCGCCGCCGTTGCGTGCGTTGCGAAACGGCGGCTACCTATCGGCCGCGTGCCTGTCGTCCCCCGACGTGGATCCGTCCGTCGAGCCCGCGGCAGCCGGCACGCTGCTGCCTCCGTCGTCGTTGCCGTTATCGTCCACCTGGGCGCCCACAAAGTCGTTCTCCCACTCGAGCCCCGGGGATGACTCGGTGGTGGAGGTGGCGGCCGGGGTGGAGCCGTTGCCGCCGCTGTCGCCCTGCTGCTGCTGCTGCTGCTGCTGCTGTCGCTGCCGTTGCTGCTGCTGCTGCTGCTCTTGCTGCTGTTGCTCGCGGTCGCTCCTCGCCCTCCCCGGCGGGCGGGGAGACTCGGGTTGCATCATGGACGCTTGGAGAAGGTCCTCCTCCGTGCGCGAGCGCTCATGAGCCTCCAGCATGCGGTTTATGCCTGCGGGCGAGCAGGCGGGCGAGAGCCACAGGGTGAGAAACGGAGCGTCAAACAAGCGAGTCGATTGTAAATGTCAGTGGATTCATCAAGCTTATTGGCTCATCTTCCGAACTCTCTTCCGATTCTTGACCACCACCGGTTAAGAGTCGAGGCTCAGTTCAGAGGCAACCGCGTCGCCGCCAACACTCACCCTCCTCGTCCTCCCACTCCAGGTCGAGCGAGGCGCTGTCGTCGGCGGACGACCGCGTGCGGCTGCTCTCCGTGTTGGGGGTGATCGCCGCATCCGCAACGATCCCTGCGCGCATTCAGGCGCATTCGCACGCAGGTTCATTAAAAGATTGACGCACGCGTGATTTCACACGCACGCGTACTCGCACGTGCACGCATTCACGCACATGACACACAGATGGCGCGTAATTATGGATAAGATTCATGGGTGCTCGCACGGTTTGTCAGACCTTACCAATTCACGCTCTGCATCATAAGCATCGGGATGTGCATTTACAGGCCACTCGCGATTAACCCTTTCCCATTCTGATGACGTTCGTGTACATAATTAAAAGGAAACCGGAAGAAAAAACTAAAATAAAATAACTTTATCGGTACCGAGGGTCCCACAAGGGCCATGCGGGGGGGGTGTGTGTGCACAGTTTGGCGCCAGCTATCGAAGAGTGCGGTCGTGTCGCTACGGTTCTCCGCGGTGAGTACAACGTCTTTAAAAACAGCGTTGCTATGCCCTCTCCAAATCAAATTTACGAGGAACCGCTCGCGCGTTCCGAGGTTCGGCGGTGAGCGTGACCCCACCCTGCAACTTGCAGACGTCTCGGAATGGGAAAAGGTCGAATGTCTGAGCGCAACTCGGAGCGCCTTGCATCACATGCTATCTCTAGATTTGAAGCTTTCGTGACTGCAAGGATTCATACTCTGGATGTTGGTGGATTGCCACCAACACTGGGTAAAGCAACATGTGCATTGTCGTTCCCTTCTAGCATGTGCACCTTTAGCATGTGACTTGTTGTTCTCTTTTAGCCCCGCCCACCCTCCCCCCAATACGTTCCATTCATTGGCTACCACACTCAGATAAGCTCCTCCCCCCCCTTGAATTTTTTTGCCTCACTTGATAGAGTAAATCTAGCTGTGACGGTCTCACCTGATGATGGAGACTTGTGCTGCCTCCGAAACGTCGTGATTTATTATTTTATTTCTATTATTACTTTTATTAATTTTAATTATATTTTTTACCTATGTGACTTTACCGAAAAAACCTAAGAGTATTACATGCTATCTCAGACATTCCAATGCCTTGCCGTGCTCTAGCCAAAGGGACCCTCCGGTGGCAGCTGCAAAATGGGCATTAGTCTATCAGCAGGGGACGATGGTTCATGGTCTATAATCAGAATATCGATTTGTACTGGAGGAAACTTATGAGCTATACATCTCTTTTTCACAGATGTCTCGTAAGGACGGCTCAGAATGTTTCAACAACAATACAAAACACAATCGGAGTACAAAGTATAGGCACTGGCGGAGCCAGTGGGGAGGTGGCGTGGCACGTGCCCCACCAATGATCCGATCAAAATCCCTAATTTCGATCGAATCATTGGGGTTTATTAGTAATAAATCGGCATTTTGCGACCCCCACTGCCACTGTGTAGCATGTTACTATGTTCCAGGGACTCTATGAGATGATAGGACAATAGTCTGAGTCCACAATTGGCAATAAGTAACGGCAAAGCAGTTATAAGTGACTCACAGAATTGTGCGCAGTTGCGTATACAGTACACGACTTCCCTGAAGGCGTTCACCTTCAGCGAGCGCGATGCCGATCACACAACGCGGTTCGAATTCGACCCTCGGTCGATGGCTGCGCCATTGCCACACACGCACCAAATAAGAAGCAAGGGACAAGTCCTTACTTACTAACAACTCATCACTTTCATTGCTGGAGGGGTTGCCCCCCCACCTACCTGAAAATCCTGGCTCGGAATAGGAAAGGTAAACAAATCACTTAGAAAAATATACAAATAAAACGAATCTATTTTTTATCTTACCAGGTCAGGTAAGATAAAAAAAAATTGCCTGTGCATGTGGCAGTGCAGCACGTAGGTTGCCGGCAGACCATCTGCGTCTCTCACTCGTACGCACGTCATTTGATTGCCACTTTGGCTTTCCTCTCTTTATTTGAAAATGAACTGGCCACGCAAGTCGGATTGATCGCGGGCGATGGCTGAAACCCAGATTCAAAGCCAGCAGCATCTCTCAGCGGCGCAGGCCGTAACACTGAGGCCATTGTGATCCTGGGCAGACGGCCGTACGGGTCAAAACCAGCGCAGGGTGAAATCCCCGCACCTGTGGGCATACGGAGAGATCGGCACGGCTGGAAAACACTGGGCGAGCTGAATGAGCGGGGAGCTATAATCTGTAGCAGAGGTACTCACGGTATTTGTTCCTAAAAGCATCCGATCTTGCCTTGACCCCCTGCAGATAATTATCAAAGTCCTCTTCCTCATCGGCCCTGCGGACACCAGGAAGAGACGGACGCTTGTTTTAGGAGGAGCCTGACCCTGGGGTTTGATTGTGGAGGGGGAAACAACGCATCCCGGGGGTGACGCCCATCGTGGAGATGGAGCGATGAAATCGGCTACCGCGCAGGAGCTCGATGGATCGTTGCGTCGCCTGACCGTGTGAGATGGAGGCCAGCTTGGGGGAGGTCTTAATCTAACAGTGATTTGATCATCATGGATGGTGGTGGTGACGACGACGACGATGATGATGATGATGTAGCATTTCCACATTCTGTGATCCGATGCATACAAGGGGATAGAGGGTGGTGTTAATTTTTCTCGGAGGCAACCTAGGAGGAGCATTTAACGAGTACGATCCTCCTTACATACGCAATCCCAGAAAATCTCTGAGATATTTTCAGCAGGTGGCTATGAGACTGAATCAGCCAAGGAGAGGTCCCTTAATTAGTTCTCATTTCAGACACAGCTAACCTGGAGGAGGCCCTATTTTGATGTTAGGGAGCACAGAATGGTCGGGACATTATGTTATTGAGCCCATTCATTCACACACTGTCAGTGGATTCGCATTGTGAATGGCACGCCACACCACACCACATCAGCGCACCAAGGATAAATAAACAAAAGGACACAAATAAAATCATTTCTGATGAAACTTCACTCACGCCATGGTGTGCATTTGGAATCAACCACTTCCTATTCATATATGCTTACACAGGGGTGGCAGAGCATGGTTAGCGTACTGCGTTATTAACCCGGTGACCCGAGTTAAATTCCCAGCCAAGGTTAACATCAGTGGCGAGTGATATTCAAAGCGGTTCTGGTCGCCGCAATTAAAAGCGCGTTGAAGTATGGTCGAACACCGCCCCCGCCTCCCTGAGACCAACACGGTTTGTGGTGGGTGCCTTCATCCATCCAGCAGAGAATTAACAAAGGGCTGCAAAGTCATAATTACATATAATATGGTAAAACCATTCTAATAGGTTCGTACGACTGCATTTTATACATGTATCAGAGGGGCGATATCCTTAATATCCTGAGAATCCTGAATAACAATAATGACAATAATAAAAAAAACAATGTGAATTTTATCATGACTCCGAAAATGGGAAATGGATTGCATCGTGGACAGTGTAAACTGCTTGATTATTCATACTCCGCCTACTCACCGACCTGTGTGCAGAGGGGGGAATGCAAATAAACGGCATCGCACCACTTACACTTGCCACTCGTCAGCACTGTCTCCCACCCACGACTTATCCAGCTCAGAGCTCCTCTCCTGCAAGGCGTCCAGAGACACGACATTGAAAGACAAAGACACGGCAAGAGATTTTTATTTGTTTAAATCAGCGATTTCTTGCTCAAGCGAGCATTTAGGTGCTCATCTCCCGTTCACAGCGCCGAGACTGTGGTGGAATTTCCACATTACTATGGCAGGCAAGTCTCAATACAGCACAGCCACTGTTGCTGCTTTGGCGAGGGCATCGGCTCACCATAGAATAATAACTAAACTAAACAAAGTTTGATTTTACCAGGTAAGACCCATTGAGCTATTAGCTCTTTTTCAGAAGCGACCTGACCACAAATGATAGCTCAACGAAGTTGTTTACCACGTGGAAATCTATCGCAGCCAATGACTCTAAACGCACGTTTCTAAATGGGGAGGGAAAAACCAGAGGACCCGGAGAAAAATCCACACGAAATTAGCGACAGGCCACCACTGCTCAAATTCGTTTGCAAAAACTTAAAAATGCACATTTGGGTAGTGCCATCACACTCCCCCGGTTCCTTGGGAGGGGGGTGCTGGGGGCATCCGCCTCGCCCACCCCCCACCCACCACCCACCCCACCACCCACCACCCACCCACCCCAGCCGCCCCATTCGCCTGTGCTGTGACACTGCAGGAAGTATGATGGAGCAGGTGATGTACCTGGCGCGCATGCTTTTGCTTGGCATGTAGGGCAGCCAGCCTCTGTGCCCTGTGTAAAGCCTCCTCCTCCTTTTTCAACCTCTCCTCCTGCTCCCGTAACTGTGTCCAATGGAGCGCAGCAAGATACACGGGCGCAAGGACGCGCAGACCGAACACAACACACACACGAAAATATATTCAACAAAACGAAACAAAATCCCCCCAAAATTAAGTTGCGTAAAAAAAATAAGCCAGGCGAAATTAAATGAAGGAAAAAAAGTATTGCGAATGAAATGGAATGTATTTGATTCAAAGTGTTGAAGCGAATGTTATTATTGTGATAATAGGTAAAAAATATATATATAAAAAGGTGCAGCCCTGCAATTACATGCTACCACCACTGTTGGCAGATGACCCTCCACTCGAGAAGAAACACAACAGTGCCCCTTGAGAGGGTACAGTATTTGGTCTACTCTTCCACGCGGGCCAGACGTCTTGGAAGAGGTGGGGGCGCCCACACTTTACCCCACCACACACCACCTCTGCTGTAACCCATTCATCCGGTTGGGGCGAACATAGGCAGGGGGGGGGGGAGTGACTGAATAAACTTGCGCCACCGTTTTAAATTCCACGCCGGGAGATGGAATCTAACGAATCGATCGTCTACATTAGCTTCGGAATCGGAACCGGGATTTTCATCGAGATGTCAAACAATAAGAATGATGAATCCCACAAACTTCGCCCACTTGTCACAAGAACACTGAAAACCAATAACACACACAAATACGCACGCACGTAAAAAATTAAGAAACCACCCCAAACTTGTCCCCGGTGTTAATAAAGCTATACAAATGTTCTACACACAAGCACTCAATGGATTATACGATTATAAGATGCCCCCACCCCACCCAAACTATTGGAAAAAATGTATCTAAAAATGTCTACCTTAGATATAACTGCTATGAATGCTTTGCCATTTGCATCTTCGCCTTTTGGCATTTCCTTTGGTCCCTACAGCAGTGGTGAGACAAACCACAGCTGTAGGCCCATCGGTTTCAAGGACAATGCATACACTACCAAAGCACGTTTGTTCGCATGTTTTACCACAGGCATGTGTGGATTAATGCAGACTTGATGCCCTGTAATGGGTGTCTATTTTAAAATTTTAAAATCTTAACACATCCTGCATTATATGCCAGAAAGGGTAAAAAGCCCGAGTAAATAAGCAATATTTAAAAATACTTTTTAAAAAAACACGCTTTAATGAAATGTACCCTACTCGTAATGGCAGAACTCCACGACTCCAGGAAGTGGTCGCAAAGCTTGCCAAAGCGTGAGGGACCATGGTGATTTAGAGCCAACGTTAGTTGAGCGTGGACAATTAGACCCAAGCCGAAACATAATATGTAAAAATGAATGTTTAAATATACTTTTTTCTTTTTTTAATAGAATATAGTGGTGTCATCAGTATGACATAAGTATACCAAGTTTGCAGTCGATATCACATTGGGAAGTGGGTTAAAATTGAGTTACAAGATTTGAGGATACGACAACAACGACACCAACACAGAGTGAGTTAAAGAAAAATGTGTAAAAAGAAAGAACTTAATCAAAACTCTCGATTCCCTCCGGCTACAGAGGGAAAAGGGAGGAGAAACGCAGACGGCGGGAACGAAACAGGAAAGACGCGAGATCACGTAGCTGAACCAGAATATTTATTGTTACTAGAAGAATCCGATGAGCTGCAAAGCTCTTTTCACAGATGTCCAGTAGGAGCACAGGGTAAGAACGTTACAACAAAACAGTACAAAAACACGATACGAGTGCAAAGTACAAGAAAGGTAAACAAATCAGCCAAACACATAGAAATAAAACTAAACCATCCCCATCCTCACCATTGGAACCTCATTTGCCAGAAGAAAAAATATGATAATTATTTTTTTACCCTTTTATCTGGCAACAAAACTGACACCTTTTTATTTTTTGTGTAAATGCTTACCCCGAGCGCTCATACTTGATGGTGCGCCTTTTGGCGTCATCTGGTCCAACACCATGTGAGACTAGGCTCTAAGGAAAGCTGTCTTGGGTGTGGACCAATCAACTTCAAGGATAGTGCATACATTATCAGAGTTATGTTTTTTATTTGCATTATGACTGCAGGTATTGTGGTCTATGCAAACATGACTCCTTGTAAAAAAAAAAGCTGTCAGTTTTGTTACCAGATAAAAGGGTAAAAAAAACAATTATCACATCCCCATCCGACCAGGAAAAGCCCAGAGATTTTAACTTATTTTTCACGAGCATTATTGGAGGGGGGGGGGGAGGGGGTAAGAACCGAGTTGTGGTGAGCTATTCCAAGAGCAGTCCTAGCGCCGCATCTCGGCGGGTCGTGGAAACGCGGCGCAAAACATTTCAGGAAATAAAAAGTGTACGAGGAAGCCGAGTTAGCGGGCCGTGTGACGGGCCACCCGGCCCGAGGTCAGACCTGCTGCGCCAATCTCTGGTCGAGGTTCCTCTGGTCCTCAACCAGGTGCTCGTATTTCCCTTCCCGCAGGGTCCTCACCTCCTCCTCGGTGAGCATCCTGGAAGGCAAGAGCCGCACGCTCACCGTCACAACTCCAAACGTGACGCGGCCCCCGTTGCTCAACAACCGGGACCTCCTAAATCACTCACCAGCGTGACCCCTCGCTCGCCAGCGTGACCCCTCGCTCGCCAGCGTGACCCCTCGCTCGCCAGCGTGACCCCTCGCTCGCCAGCGTGACCCCTCGCTCGCCAGCGTGACCCCTCGCTCGCCAGCGTGACCCCTCGCTCGCCAGCGTGACCCCTCGCTCGCCAGCGTGACCCCTCGCTCGCCAGCGTGACCCCTCGCTCGCCAGCGTGACCCCTCGCTCGCCAGCGTGACCCCTCGCTCGCCACCGTGACCCCTCGCTCGCCACCGTGACCTCTCCCTCGCCACCGTGACCCCTCCCTCGCCACCGTGACCCCACCCTCACCACCGTGACCCCTCCCTCGCCAGCGTGACGCCTCCCTCACCACCGTGACCCCTCGCTCACCAACGTGACCCCTCGTTCACCAGCGTGACCCCTCGCTCACCAGCGTGACCCCTCGCTCACCAGCGTGACGCCTCGCTCACCAGCGTGACCCCTCGCTCACCAGCGTGACCCCTCGCTCACCAACCGTGACCCCTCGCTCACCAACCGTGACCCTCCCTCACCAACGTGACCCCTTGCTCACCAACCGTGACCCTCCCTCACCAGCGTGACCCCTCGCTCACCACCGTGACCCCTCGCTCGCCACCGTGACCCCTCGCTCGCCAACGTGACCCCTCGCTCGCCAACGTGACCCCTCGCTCGCCACCGTGACCCCTCGCTCACCACCGTGACCCCTCGCTCACCACCGTGACCCCTCGCTCACCACCGTGACCCCTCCCTCACCAACGTGACCCCTCGCTCACCACCGTGACCCCTCGCTCACCACCGTGACCCCCTCGCTCACCACCGTGACCCCTCGCTCAACAGTGTCACCCCTCGCTCAACAGTGTCACCCCTCGCTCACCAACGTGACCCCTCGCTCACCAAGCGTGACCCCTCGCTCACCAGCGTGACCCCTCGCTCACCAGCGTGACCCCTCGCTCACCAGCGTGACCCCTCGCTCACCAACCGGGACCCCTCGCTCACCAACCGTGACCCCTCGCTCACCAACCGTGACCCCTCGCTCACCAGCGTGACCCCTCGCTCACCAACCGTGACCCCTCGCTCACCACCGTGACCCCTCCCTCACCAACGTGACCCCTCGCTCACCACCGTGACCCCTCGCTCACCACCGTGACCCCTCGCTCACCACCGTGACCCCTCGCTCACCAACGTGACCCCTCGCTCACCAACGTGACCCCTCGCTCACCAACGTGACCCCTCGCTCACCAGCGTGACCCCTCGCTCACCAGCGTGACCCCTCGCTCACCAGCGTGACCCCTCGCTCACCAGCGTGACCCCTCGCTCACCAACGGGACCCCTCGCTCACCAACCGTGACCCCTCGCTCACCAACCGTGACCCCTCGCTCACCAGCGTGACCCCTCGCTCACCAACCGTGACCCCTCGCTCACCACCGTGACCCCTCGTTCACCACCGTGACCCCTCGCTCACCACCGTGACCCCTCGCTCACCAGCCGTGACCCCTCGCTCACCAGCGTGACCCCTCGCTCACCACCGTGACCCCTCGCTCACCACCGTGACCCCTCGCTCACCAACGTGACCCATCGCTCACCAGCGTGACCCCTCGCTCACCACCGTGACCCCTCGCTCACCAACCGTGACCCCTCCCTCACCAGCGTGACCCCTCGCTCACCAACCGTGACGCCTCGCTCACCAACGTGACCCCTCGCTCACCAGCGTGACCCCTCGCTCACCAACGTGACCCCTCGCTCACCAGCGTGACCCCTCCCTCACCAGCGTGACCCCTCGCTCACCAACCGTGACGCCTCGCTCACCACCGTGACCCCTCGCTCACTCACTCAGAAGGACCTCCCCCAGCTCAAGACGAGCGTGGGGCGGCACTCATCACCGCTGTGGCCAGTGGTGAACATTCCACGTTTCTATGAACAGGGCCCAGCGGCACCGTGGGAGCAGCGCACGCGTGACAACGCGCAAAGCGGGCACTCAATTTATCGATCACAGAGGGATGACGGGCCGCGTTCACACCAGACTGGGAATTGAAATCGTGATCGGCTGATTGGTAGTTGAATTGCGGTTGTGTTACCCTTGCAACCGCCTGTAATGAATGTTTACAACTTAATCACAGGTTTTTGCTTGGCTTCTATCTGATAATCTCGGAGGTGCTGACTCAGTGTTCCAGCACCGCAATTATGAGCCCCCTTGGGTTACAAAACGATACATGCTAATGATATTCTAATTGTAATTTTATTGCAAATTCCAACGTTGAAGATGCAGTTTGGTTGTGCGAGATTATTTGACTGCATTATTGGTAATGCTGCACTCGTATTTACATGTTGTTTGAGTGGTCCCTGTTGAATAACATTCGCGTAATGAAATAGAAAAGAAAACATTGTGGCTTTCTTAAGAATTTTGAATGGCATCATACCTTGGGTTGGAGTTGACACTGCTGTAAACCTGCACAAATGACAAATTTGAAACACTCCTTCAATTATTTAAAACACATCCGTTGCAAAATGCACAACAACAGTTTCAAGACGTTTAATAAAAAACAAAAACATTGAATCAAACACGACAACGCATCCTGACAAACAGCACGGAAAGAAAAGTTAAAACAATTTAAAGAACTTAATTGCAACGTCAAGAGGGAATCGGAGACGCATTAGAGAATGACTCTTCTATATTTTTTATTTGTATATTGTATTATTATTATTGATGCTTTTTCACCCAGGAAAGTCGAGCAGATTTCTCATGACTTTTTTCCCTGCCACGTTTTTTTTGCAGTTGGGGGAAACGATTGCTCTTTATAATTTTCCAACAGAGTAAAACTTTCGCGTAATTAGTTTTTTTATTGCGACCGTGACGCCGACACATAATGACCTAACTCTTGAAAACGACGTCACAGGCTTTTTAACGTCAGCAGGAATCAAGCTCGAGTCGCAGTGTTCGTAGCGCAGCGCGCTAACCGCGACAATTACCGCCCCCCATGAAGTTCAACATACAACGTAGCGGGATCGGAAATCAAACCCTACCTCATCTTCTTCCACCAAGTTTTCAAACTGCAAGAGAGGAGAATAACGAAGAATAACAATTTGTACGTAGAGTGGCACTTGCTTACCTGCTTAGGGCGACTCAAAGCGCGACTACACCACACCTCATCTCAACGATTCAAATGTCCTGCTGCCGTCTAGCCGAGGGGACCCCACAGAGGCCAGCTGTCCCGGCGCCGCACATGGTGGGAGGGGTGCAAGTCGGCGATTCACAACATTTGGTGATCCATTTGACCGCCTCTTACTTTTCAACACTTGTGTAATGTAGCTCTCAGAGAGACACCGTCTCGTCTTTCCGTATATTTATTGTGAATAAAGTCCACCGGCAACTCGACGAGTAACCACGAGTGACTACGTACACTTGGTTAGTTAGACGACTCTATTCTGGGACATCACAGCTTCTGGTCTCAAGACATCTCGAAGACGATGGAGACGACCCGTTCCAAGGCAACGACGATTCCCCACACCAACAGCCACCAGCTCGTGCTGGCTCTGAAGCAGAGGTCGCAACCGGGTACCCGATACCGATACCCTACCCGATACCCGGCTACCCGTACCCGGCCGGGTACGGGTACGGGTAGCCGTTTGCGACCCTGGTGCGGCCGGGTACGGGTACGGGTAGGCCGTGAGTCACTGGTGAGTAACTGTTTGTCACTCATTTCGGGTAGGGTACGGGTAGGAAACGGGTACCCGTACCCAGCCGGGTACGGGTACCCATTTGCGACCCTGGTGCGGCCGGGTACGGGTAAGGAATCAAAACCCGTTTGCGACCTCTGCTCTGAAGCCTCGCCTGGTCCTGGCCACGCCCCTTATGCCTCGCCCAGGTGCCGGCCACGCCCACATTCTCGAATTCTCCTCGCCACACCTGGCTCTGTCAATCACCGGCCTAGGGGCCCGTCCATGAATGACGTCACGCGATTTTGGACGATTTTTGACCCCCCCACCACATCGTCACACGGCATCACAAAAAGTCAGACCCCCCCCTCAAATATGACTGTCAGAAAGCTCTGCCCCTCCCCCCCCCCCCAAAAAATAAAACATGCTTCAAATCGCTTTAAACTATTGTCATTGTAGTGCGTATTTAATGTGGCGCTGTACTCTGATGTTGTAGGAGAAAACATTTATTAAAAAGTCTATTTAATTAAGTAGAACGTGTTGTCTATATTTATTTAAAATTGCCCATTTTGATGTGACTGTCACATTTCTCAACCCCCCCCCCCTTCGTCACACATCGTCACAAATGTCTGACCCCCTCCCCCCAGGTGCGTGACGTCATTTATGGACGGCCCCCTAATTACACTTCCCCCACCATTGGATCCCGTGCTCCCCCTCACGTGACCCTGTCAACGTTTGTCTCATCAAACATCATTAGCACGTCCATTGTAACCATGGTTCCCGGGGAACCACACTGTCCCACTATCGCTCCGTACTGTCTTTACACTTGGATTCATACTGGTAGGAACCTCCTGGTTACACCAGGCCACAGGGGATTATTGTGTCCGTCCGTCCGTCGTGCATCCAAAAATGGGAGGGGTGGGGCTGGGTGGGGAGGGGCTGGGTGGGGAGGGGCTGGGTGGGGAGGGTGGGGCTGGGTGGGGAGGGTGGGGAGGGGCTGCGTGGGGAGGGTGGGGAGGGGCTGGGTGGGGCTGGGTGGGTGGTGGGAGGGGTGGGGCTGGGTGGGGAGGGGCTGGTCACCCCGTGGTGCCCTTATAAAACTCAACGTTTAACCTACTCACGCCGGCTTGTGCCCGCCCTCACAGTCGGCCATATTTGCGGAATACACCACGCTGCTGTTGACCCTGGCCATTGACCGAGCAACCCAACGTTCCTACCAGCTCCCTCCGCAGGAATGTGTATATTGTGAAAATGATGGCTCCGTATCTTACAGAGGAAGCAGGGTGCCAACAGATGTAACGAGTTGTACTGAGATTGGCGGGAGACGGGTCGAGACTCTGAGATAGGATGCAGTCTTCTCACATTAATAATTTTTCCCACGTGACTTTGGCGGGGTATCTATAAATAGATCGCGCTGTGTACGCATTGCCGATTTTTTGAATGCCCAATTTCTATAGTTAGTAGCCACGATTCAACGTATCAGCAAACATGTGCCAGTGGTGTGAACTCCACATTCCCATGAAAGAGGCCAGTACTGCCAAACCATGAAGCACTATTGACTTCTTAGAAAGTGATACTCCTTTAACAAACCCCCACAGGATGATGAGAAAAGTTGACCTCAAATTCGGGAATAAAAAAAAATGTTATGGTTGGGATTTTCGGCAAGTTAGTTTGTGTAGAAGAAACACTCCCAATTGTGAAGTTACGAGTTCAAATCTCGGCTTATTTTAATGTGATGATTATCATCATCCGTGTCATCATCCTTACGCCAATGAGTGATACAAATGAGAGCAGATCATACCTCGATGGTTGTATGCTCTGCGGCGTAGCCAGACTTAAAATATTTAGACCTGCAAAACAAAACATCGAAAACATCAACTTATTAAACACTCAAAACAGACACATGAAGTATCTCAACGCGTGGGCCACGTGACTCTGTAATGTGTGTACATCAATAACACCACAAGGGAATACAAATAACGTTATGGTCTAGTCTTAAAGGCCTTGATGTGTGTGCGTGTTGTGGGGAACGATGGTGTAGCGGTTAGCGCGACGCTGCGCTACAAACCCGGCGACCCGAGTTCGATTCCCGCTCACGGCCAACACCAGTGACAAATATCTGAACCAGGTCCTGGGCCTCCCCTAGGTCGACTCAGCCTCAAATGAGTACCTGGTGCGGTGTGTAAACATTGCCACTGGGGAGATAAAGGCCGCTGGGCGTGGTGCTGACCACCCACCTCATCCTGTGCCGTGCCGGCCTTCATAGGTGCTCGCCAACATCACTTTGGCCCAACAGTCTGTTTCAGGCTACACGGGGTGATCTTTGTTTATTTTTGTGTGAGAGGAAGCTCAGATAATGCACAGAAAAGCCACTCCTAAAGCGGATATACCACTCGAACTCCGCTGCACAGAATGTAGGTTTCAAAAGCTGAGAAACACTAGCGTTAACAAAAATACCGTGAAAAGTGACTATATTGTGAGTAGATCGTGTAAGTAGTATAATGAGTGCGTATTGTATTTGGATACTTTTATTTTTATTAGTTTGTTCTTTTAAGTCTGGCCAGACGGTGTTGTTAGAGGTGCTCTCGACCGATAATCAGAAGTTAATATCCCAGTCGGGGGTTAAATGAACCCCTCTTCACTACCTCATCGATAAAAAATAAGGATCTGTTCTTTTGTAAAAACATGTTTCTCTGCGTCCATGCTGCCATCCACCGGTGACTTAGTTCGTTTTAAGAATTAGCAATTCCCGTTGGGAGCGTGGAAAGTGATGCAGAGAGGATTTTGGGGGTGGGCATTATGTACCCACTACCCATGAGCCTCACTGTTTCTTCCTCATCTCTGAGCGAGCTGAAGACAGGGGTTGTTGCTCATTGTTAATACGTAACCAGTGGACAGTGACATTGACACGCAGAAATGACTATTGCAGTGTTGTTTTTTCTCAGTTGCGCTTGAATAGCTCGCCGATGTGTTTTCGCGGTTATGCCGCACGTTATTCCCAAGGGGCGTTCGACCCGTGCGTGTCACGAACACGCGGTGTGACCGTGGCAATACATCGAAGAGATAAAACTGACGAATCGCTTCGTGGGACATCAAGACTGGCAGTCGCATGAAGAGGTTGGACCACACTTTCAGAATCTGAAATTCCACCTTTGTCTTGACGATTACCATCGAACACACGTGCCCGTCCTAGCCCGTTAAAGGCGACTTCCGTGATTAATTTGACAAATTAACCACGCTGCTCTTAGCTGTCTCGCACATTAATAATGGTCCAATTACGACGCAGTGCCATGCAAATTCCCGCACCTCCGATTAGCACAGTTGGCTACTTACGGCACGAAAGTTGTTCAACATGCATACATGCGATGAAATAAAATCATAAATTTATTTTGGGATAGATCGTGGAGATATAATGCCAATTTTCAGCCACCCCATAAAGGCAATAAAATGAAGTTGTCACGCGGACAAATTATGCTAATTTAATAGTTTTTTTTTGCAAACTGGGATGTTAAAAAGCAAAGCAAAATTGTTGACGACTTTGTACGACGTTTCGCTGAAGATCACATCCGCCATCATCAGGCGTTAACAGCGGCTCAGCTCTAGCGGCAAACACGATCGCTGATCGATTTGGGCCACTAAATCATTGTTGGGATTCAATTATCGATCTTGGTTTCACGGAAAATAATAATGGACTGCGGTTCAATTTTAGTAACGATCAAACCGATTTAGCACGTGCAGACATTCAAACTACACGTCGCAATGTTTCGATGTTCCAAAGGGGACCAGTGGCAGAACTCATCAGCGACAAACAAATACAAAGATCCCCCATATAGTCTCAACACTGTTGAGGCAAGTGCCGTTAGCAAGCACTTTTGAAAGCCGATGTTTACACATCGAACCAGGTGCTCATTTGAGGCTGAGTCGACCTCGGGGAGGCCCAGGACCGGTTCAGATAATCGTCACTGGTGTTGGCCATGAGTGGCAATCGAACTCAGGTCACCAGGTTACACAGCGCAGCGCGCTAACCGCTACACTACCGCTCCCCACGCACACACACGACTCAAGTTAATGAATGATTTCGCTATGATTCGCGATCCAAAACGCGCAATAAATTCCGTGGCATGCGTCCAATTGACGACCGGATGGTCAGCGGCAATTTGCGTGGACCACGCGTGACTGTGCATTCTGCCACCCAAACTGCCCCGGCTCCACGTTCAACTTGAATCCATGTCAAGGCAATTGGCATTTGGCCAAGTGGATCCGGTGGCAGAGCGAGGGGGCTTGCAATCGAAATGGACGCGAGTTCAAATCCCGGTTGCGGGTTGACTCGCCCTTCATCTCACTCCGGAGTCGATAAAACATTCGTACAACATCGTGGGGAAGTCAAAAGTGCTTATCCTATGGATAAACTCGCCCTCTGCCAGAGGATTGTAGATTTTCCACTGCTGGCTCAGGGCTTTAAAGAGGAGATCAGAATCAGAATATTGATTTATTCTGGAGGAATCCGATGAGCTATTAAGCTCTTTTTCACAGATGCCCAGTAGGGGTGGGTCAAAAAGTTACAGCAACAAAAAACACGATAGGATTGCAAAGTATAGGAAAGACGAGCACCGACCGCCTCACGGTTTCATGTACATTCAAACCAACTCCTGCAGTCACAGAAGTTTTAAGTCAAAATCCAACTCAACGTCTAAAGGTTAATTATAATGAACCACCTGCAGACGTGGAAGAAAGTTCACTATCAGGGTGTTCACCGGGACAGGTTTAATGTCAATTTGTAAAGTACTGTTAATAATGAGCGACGATTGTATGTTTGACAGCGCCTACGATCGTTACAGACGGGATACACCTTGCGTAACGCGGCCGCTGTAGCAGCCGCGACCCCACACAAGTGAATGCATCCCTGCGGCACGCTCATTATGAACGGCGGATCGTTAGAGTTCAGCACGGTCCATCATATAACGAGATAATACGATGTGACACTGCATATCTCGTCACGGTGAAGTGATGCTCCACATTTGGTGTAAAACCGAAGCAGGCTTTCGGCTGTCACTTCCAGTTTCACACGAAGCGTGCACCCTCCTTTGGGCTAGCAACTCGGCTGACTCGACATCAGCACGGATACACGCACACACACACACGCACACACGCACACGCACACACGCGCTCCCTCACAGACAACCCCGATGACGTCGCACTTTTGCGTGGGCAGTCTTTGTGCAGTGTGAAAAGAAACCTGAATCTCCCCGTCCAATTCCCCAAGTGAAATCGACGGGGCGTCTCTAAGTGGGGAAAGTGAAGCAATTTGCACGGATTGCTGGCGCCCTCCAATCAGTCGGGCAACGCCAGGTAAGATTTTCTTCAGGAGGAATGCTTGCACCTCAACAACAACACTAAGAACAGCAGCAGCAGCAACAACACCACCAACAAAAACTCCTGAACATAATGTAACGAGAATTCCAGAGTAATACGAGCCACCCGTTTCAGATCAACGATGCATCTCTGTGTGCCACGGCCTTACTGTTTGTAAGAGATGTGCCGAATCATCTGCCGGGTGGGTGGGTGAATCGGTCACAGCAAAAAAAATCAGGCATCAATAATGCCGGGACCAAATCAGCCCCAAATGCGCCCGACCTCGTCAGATTTCTGAAGCTCTGCCGGTTTGAGCCTGGAGCGAACTCGTTCGGGCCGAGCGCCATGAAAAAACAGGTTGCCGTAGTCCCCGCTGCGAAGGCACGTGGAGGGCATTGCGGCGAGTTCCACTGACGCACGGCGCTTCGACAGTCGACGCTCTCCCGCCTTCGCTGAACCCACGCGAAACCAGCCAGGTCAAGTATGGTCAAGCAACTCCCCCCTCAGCTTGCGAGGCGTAGGGAGGCCCTCCATCCTGCAGTGTGTATCGACAAGAGGGCTGTTACGCAAGTACACGTCCGAGGCAAAAATCGTTTTAATTAAACCGGTGTGTCTTGCGCGGCCTAGAAGATACGAACATCCCGTGGAAAATAAAAATCAATAGCAACTGCAGTGATGGCGCTCACTTAATTGTGGGCTGATGAACGCCGAGCCATTTGAGGAATGCGCCGCTTTCACCTGGCTAATAGAATCAACGTTTTTACTGGGAGGGAAGATGGGTCCGCATTTATTGGGTGAATGCCAGCCCCCAGATAAACAATGTACGTTCATTCAGGCTGAACTGAGCCGCATTAGGTCCAATTCCACTGATGGCATCGGCCTCTCGCCATTGCCGCCTTCCATCTTCTGCTCAATGCCCCAGTTGTTGCACAGGTGTCGGGCGACCGCCAATCTCTGCTGCGGCTGCAGTCTTGCACCGCCTGGCGTCAGGTCTTCCCGTTGTCACAGTCTCCCAATATACGGCTTTCAGTCTCACCAACACCAACCTGTCCGGCTTCTGGTCTTACCCTCGTCACAACACTCCAAACATCCTCTTTGGTTCTTTCGGTAAAGTCACGTAGATAGAAAATAAAATAAAAATACTAGATCACGACGTTTCGATCGCAACAACAAGCGATGATCGTCTTCAGGTGAAAGAAACAGACTGCTGTGGACGAGGCACCTGAAGATGATCGCTTGTTGTTGTGATCGAAACATCGTGATCTATTATTTTAATTTTATTTTCTATCTACGTGACTTTACCGAAAGAACCAAAGAGTATGAATTCCTGCAGTTACGGAAAGCCTCAAATCAAGAAAGTCCAAGCATCTCAACATCTTTCAAGGTCCAAAATGGGACTATTTTTTGTCCTTATCAAAGCATGAAAAAATAAGAGGAGGTTTTACCCTTTCTGGCAATATAAGAGGTGTTAAGATGTTCAAACACCAAATAGAAACCG